GAGGGTTGCGATCCCGTTGCCGGTCCCCGGTCCGGTACGGAGGCAACACTGAGGGTTGCGATCCGTTGCCAGACACGGAAAAAGACAAAAGACCAAAAAAAACAAAAAAAACAAAAAAAAACCTACAGCTACACCCCAAGATCAGAAATAAGACAAGGATGTCCACTCTTACCACTGCTATTAAACATTGCACTAGAGGTTCTAGCTACTACAATAAGGCAAGAAAAATAAATTGAAGGTATCTATATTTAAAAAGAAATATACTACATGATCTCATTTATATGTGAAATCTAAAAATGTTGAACTCATATAAGCAGAGAGTAAAATGATGGTTTACCAGGGGCAGCAGTGACAGGTAGAATGGGGAGATGTTGGTTGTTTCATTTAGCTAGGAGGAATAAATTCAGGAGAACTATTGTACAATGTGGTAACTATAATCAATAATGTACTGTATACTTGAAAATTGCTAAAAGAGTAGATTTTAAGTGTTCTCACCACAAAAAAAGTGATAAATATGTGAGATAATGTACATGTTAATTAGCTTGATTTGGCCATTCCACAATATATACATATACCAAATCACAATGATGTAACACCATAAATGTATACAATTTTATTTGTCAGTTAAAAAAATCATCATCGTCATCATATCATCCCTATTCTACAGTGTTCTTGGGAAGATCGCAAAAAGCATGTGACTTGCAAATTATTAAATGACATGCAAATGTAATTAATGATTATTGGAAAATATATTTAGGAACTTACTTTATCATAGGCAGTTAAATATAATACTTTTTTTCATCTAAGGACATGACTATATTCACTTAAAAATTTTTCTAAGAAGAAACAAACCTCATGAAGTTAAGAAGTAAAATGACATCACCTATGTAGAAAATCTGATGGAATCTACAGAGAAGCTACTAGAGCTAAAATGTGAGTTTAGCGATGTTGCAGGGTACTAGGTGAATATATAAAAATAAATTATATTTCCATATACTAGCAACAAACAGTAGGAAAGAATATTTTTAAATGCCATTTACAATGGCATCAAAAAATAGGAAATGCTTCAGGTTAATTATGATAAAAGATATGCAAGACTTTACACCGAAAACTACAGAACTGCTGGCAGAGGTGAAAGAAGTCGCTAATAAATGGAGATAGGTACCTTGTTCACGGGCCAAAAGACTTACTATTGTTAAGATGCCAATTCTCCGCAATGTGATCTATATAGAATTAACACTATCTCTATCAGCATCTCAGGCTTGTTTTTTTTTAGAATTGTTTGTAGCTGGGCCGGCCCGGTGGCGCACTGGATAGTGCGCCGCTTGGGAAGCGCGGCGGCGCTCCCGCCCGAGGGTTCGGATCCCACATACAGACCGGTTCCCGCTCACTGGCTGAGCGAGGCGCGGGAGCAACACCAAGGGTTGCAATCCCGTTGCCGGTCCCCGGTCCGGTACGGGCGCGACACTGAGGGTTGCGGTCCATTGCCGGACACGGAAAAAAGACAAAAAAAAAAAAAAAAAAAGAATTGTTTATAGCTGATTCTGAATACAAAACAGGTGGAAGAGCCACAATGACTCTGATAAAGTAGAACAAAATTGGAGGCTGACACCACCTGATTTTATGACTTATGATAAAGCCACAGTGCTCAAGACAATGCGGTACTGGCATCAAGATAGACAAATAGATCAATGGAACAGAACAGCGAGTTCAGAAATAAACCCACATATACATGGACAACTGATTTTTGACAAAGGCTCAAAGGCGATTCAAAGGAGAGGATAGTATTTTCAACAAAAGAAGCTGGATATCTATATTCAGAAAAACTGTACTTCGATCCATACCTCACATAACATAAAAAATTAATGTGAGATAAAAGTACAAACTCTGATAACAAAACATGGGAGAAAATCTTAGTGACTTTGGATTAGGCAAAGATTTCTCATACATGACACCAAAAACATGACCAAAAAAAAAAAGGATATAAATTGGACTTTATGAAAATTTAAAACTGTTAGGAGAGTGAAAAGACAAGCCATGGTCTGGGAGAAAATAATTGCAAAGTATGTATCTGATAAAGTATGTGTATCTAGACTATATTAGGAACTCTAAAAACCCAATAATAAGAAAACAAACAATCCAAAAAAGAAATGGGCTAAAGATTTGAACAGACATTTTACCAAAGAATATGGCAAAAAAAACACATGATTAAGATGCTGAACATCATTAGTCATTAGAGAAATGCACCTTAAATCTACACTGAGACACCACTGCATACCCACTAAAATGGCTTTAATCACAAGGACTGACCATACCAAAGGTGGGCAAAGATGTGGAGCAGCTAGAACTCTCATCCACTGCTGGCAGGAATGAAAAATGGTACAACCACTTTAGAAAACAATGCAGCAGTTTCTTTAAAAACTTAAATATCACTTACCATATGACCCAGCAATCACATTCATTTAAAAAACAAAAAAAACACATCTATACAAAGACCAATGTGCAAATGTTCCTAGCAGGTTTATTACAACCCCAAATTAGAATCAACCCAAATGTCCATCCATAAGTGAATGGATAAACAAATTATGTTACATTATACAATAAAATAGTCCTCAGCAGTACAAAGCAATGAACTATTAATATACATAACATGGATTGAATCTCAAAACAATTATGCTGAGCAAAAGAAGCCAGACAAAAAAGAATACATACTGTGTGATTCCATTTATTGAAAACTCTAGAAAATGCAAACTAATCTATATCAGTGGTTGCCTGGGGAGGGAAACAGGAGGAAGGGACTACAGGGAAATACTTGGGGGTGCTGAATTTGTTCATTATCTTGATTGCAATGATGGTTTCACAGATGTATACATATACCAAAGCTTATCAAACTGTGTACTCTAAATATGCATGGTTTATTGTATGTGAGGTCTACCTCAGGAAAGCTATTAAAGTGAGCAAAAACGTTAAGAGGGAGAAAGAAAAAAAGTGAAATCATTCTAAGAAAGGTTTACATAAATTGCTTTATCCTGTGTACTCTGACTGTGACCTTGAACTTTGACTTTTCATTTTCAAGAGTGTATAAAGTTGGGTAAAAGCTGACTTTTTTTTTTGGCACACCTACTAAATTGGCTTCTCACACACCTTATTTTAGGCATTTGTTAGGTAGCTGGCATCTACCCCTCTTTTTAATAATATTCGCCTGGATTTTAATGAGGCAGCACATGTTTTCTAAGCCCCGGTAGCCTTAAACTACCAAGCAAATCAGGATAGACCTTATTCACATGGCTCCTCAGCATCTATGAATTTAGAAGGAGTTCTTTCTCCGGAAGAAAGTCTTTGCTTGCTCAGTGTTTGGGAATCGCATGCTGTATCCTGAAAATGTTGAGGAGCTGGAGAACGCCCAGCCATCCTGACAACTCAAAACCTTATTATGTCCTTATTATGTCCTCAGTCTGCTAAGAAGTTTTATAAATATCAAATAAACAAAGTTCAGTCCCTTGGGTTTTGGAGGGAAATAGTCCTTCCAAGGTAGAAAAAAAAATCAGTCCATTGCCAAGGATTTTTAGACAAAGGCATTTCCCCTTGATGATCCAAGAACTGGCGATTATAGCGGGGACTGAATCCCAGGATACATTTGGGAGCTAAAACAAGCAGCTGTTAAAGTAAGAAAGTGGGAGGAGATGTCCTCTAAGGTTCCACACTGGTTTACAATTCTGTCACTCTCTAGTGACAAGAACTGACCCAAATTTTGCCACTAATTTGCAGGGTACAGTGGTCCAGCTGTGTCACCTCACTTAAGCCTGAGTTCCCTCATTAGTTAAACAAAGATGATAACATGTAATAAAAAGCCACACATTTAAAACTTCTGTGCTTAAACAACACAACTCCACTCTGGCTTTAGGACCTGAATCCGGGAGAGCGATGTTCCACTTGTTTAGGACCATTAGATGATTGTCCCAGGGCATGAATGGAACACCCACGATGGGAAGAAGCAGGTGCCCAGTTCTGCTCTGTCTTCTCACTGATCCCATGTACCTGTGGCTGTGATCGAGCCAGAATTTGATTCAAATTACCTAATTGCCAGGCCTGTGCCAGATGCTTTTGCATATACAATCTCATTTAATTCTCAAATTGACAAACCTCTCAACACGTAAAGCTTAAAAGACTTGCTTTTAATAGAGAATGGAGCAAGCCCAGTAGGGAGAGGAATGGTGATAATTCTCCCCACACACTCCTCATTCACCTCTGGAGGGAATCTCTTAAAGGCAGAAGAGTTTGATGTCCAGCCACATGTAAATATGTATTTTCTTCCATTAGTCCAGAGATTCTCAGGCTTTCACTATACGTATAGCTCCCCCAGCAGCCCCCCTACTCTTCCTTCTCCCCACACACTCCTCATTCACCTCTGGAGGGAATCTCTTAAAGGCAGAAGAGTTTGATGCCCAGCTACATGTAAATATGTATTTTCTTCCATTAGTCCAGAGATTCTCAGGCTTTCACTATACGTATAGCTCCCCCAGCAGCCCCCCTACTCTTCCCTCAGGTCTCTGCTTAGACGTCCCCTCATCCAGGAAGCCTTCCCTGACTAGCCCCATATAAATGAATAACCTCTCAGCACCCCCTGCTCCCCAATCCTGATTTATTAATTCTCTGCAACACGTGGCCCCACCTGACAAAAGTACAGATTAACTTGTTCATTTGTCTGGCATGTCTCTCACTAGAATTTAAGTGCTATGAGAACCAGAATATACCCCTCAGTGCCTGCAACAGTTCCTGCTTAATAAATATTTGCTTGATGGACAAAGACAAGATAATGAATGTTATGAATGGGTGATTTAAGGGTCTTGCAAGAGTAGTTTTAATTCCACATGGTCTTTGCCTTCAGTGCTGCCTTTGAGACATACTGCTTTGGAATTAGATGGTGCTGATGTGATATTCCCTGGGAGGAAACACCAGCAAAGCCTCTGATGTGTCCTCCATTCCCTTTCTGACCCCAGGTGAATATAACACACACAACGGACCTTCCACCCCAGCAAAAGACGGAGACACAGACAGGCCACATCGGGCCTCTGATGGGAAACTCCGAGGCCGGTCTAAGAGGAGCAGTGACCCCTCCCCAGCAGGGGACAATGAGATTGAGGTAACCGCATAACTTCGTATAGCATACATTATACGAAGTTATACGATCTGTGGCCCAAAAGGGTGGCGGGGGGGGGGGAGGCAGATTTCTCTCCAAGTACATGGGGAAGAATTGTCCTTTAAGTTCACAAAGCCCAAGGACAGAGAAAAGAGCACTTGAAGGTGAAATATGGAAGAGTTGAGTTGGCCTTACAGAAGCCCTGTTGATGGACCAGGCCAGGAAAAGATGACCCTAGAGCTAGTACAGAACAGTGGTTCTCAAGTTCAAGCAGCATCAGAATCAGCCGTGGTAGGCTGGCAGGGGATGGGAGTGAAAACAGACTGCTGGGCCCTGCCCCCAGAATTTCCAATTCAGTAGATCCAGGCAGGGCCTGGGAATTTGCATTTGTCATCAGTCTCCTTGTGATGCTGGTGCTGCTGGGTTGGGGACCATACTCTGACAGCCCCTGGTAAAGAAGAAGATAAGCAGTAGGACTCCCAGCTGAGTGAGAGTGGTTCTTTAGCCCTGACTACATGTCAGAACAATCTGGGATGCTTTTTAAAATACATATACCCAGGCCCTATCCCAGACCAACTGAAGATACTTGCAGTGGGTGGGGGGGAGGGGTTAAAAGTTCCCCCAGGCGACTCTAATATGGCTTAGATGCTAATCGTCCTCGAGGCTGGCTCAAATGAGTTTGCTGCATCCTTTCTATGATTCTGGGTTTCTCAGACAGTGGTTCTCGGCCTGGGCTGCTCATGAAAATCACTTGGGTAGCTTTGCAAAACCTTCATTCTCAAGCTGTACCTAGACCAATTAAATCAGATTCCCTAAGGGTGGAACCCAGGCATGAGTATTTTTAAAGCTCCCCGGGTGGTTCCAGGGTGAAGGCCAGGCTGAGAACTGCTGGTCCAAGGGATGCCCCAATCTTTATCATAATAAAGCAAGTATACAATTATTGGTCAGGCACTGACATTTTCCCCAAACCAGCCTGCATGGGGGAGGGTACTAGTGGGGACATAGGCAAAATGGATGCCCAAAAAACAGATACAAGAGACTGTAACCTATCAAGGGAGGAAAATGGGTGAACTCATCAGTTTGTACTTGTTTGCAAGAGGCAGCCATCTGTTAGCTTGTGTGGGCTGCGGGAAGTACGTAGTATTTGCAAAGCCATACTCCTGTACACTTTATGTAGCAGCTACAAACCTCAGCCACAAACTCAGATGTGCTAAGAAATATTAAGATCATCTTCATCATTTCCTTAAAATCAGTGTAATTATAACTCTGAGTCCCCACCTCACCAGGATGGTGGGAAATTCCATCGCATTCCTGGGGCTCCACCCTTCCCAGAATTGAGAATCCATGGGTTCAAGTAGTCTCAGAAGAGTCTTTAATGTGCAGGGGGCTTGGTTGCTGCTGCCTTTCTCATTGTCAAGGCCTGCAGTGGTCAGTGGAAGTCCAGCCACTCTCTGAGGTTTCTGTGCCATTCATTGGGCATCAGAATCCTTGTTGAGCCCAAGAACCTTGGAGTATTAGCTGCAGACCTTTGGTTGCAAGCAACAGAAACCAGTTCTGTGTACTTAAGCAAATAGGAAATTACTGGGAGGGAAAAACAGAGAAAGGAGGCTATAGAACCAAGTTTAGAAGGAAAATAACAGAGGCAGTGCTAAGGAACCTAGGGGACCTTAAAGGTGCCAGCCCTGCTGGAGCTTGAACCATTTTAGAGTCTAGTGCCCATTCATTCAATGGCAGAGTCCGAGGAGACAGCATCCCATTGGCTTGGCTTGGGTCTTATTCTTACCCCTTAATTGACAGTCCCACCAAGACAGCACACAAAGGGAAAAGAAACCCAGGATGTTCTTATTAGAAGACCTGGGGATGGATGCTGGGGAGCACAAGCCACAAATGCCAACTACCAGAGCATTTGACATTTAGCCAATATTCACAAGTGTGCTGTGGCAGTTGTTTATGGCTCTTTCTGATTAGCCTAGAAGGGGTTAAATATTTTGAACATGCTTGTTCCCCACACTTGATCAGCCTCGTGAGCTGCAACAGCAGCCTCGATCCACCCTAGGGACCTGCCACGGAGCAAGTGCTCCCACTGCCCTTGGGACTGTTCTCAGTCCAGGGGATTCTGTTCTTGCTTTTCCCTCATTCTTAAAGCCCCTCCCTCCCCAAGTCACCAAGATGTTGCCCAATCCCTTCAGTGGGTTTAGGCCTTTGCAAAGGGTTGGAAGAAAATGAATTGGCTCCAGGTTGTACTCGCCATCTCCCCTCCCATATTCCTGAGCATTTTCTACCAGCTCAAAGTTGCAGAGCTGTAGAAAACACCGAGAGCAACACATACAATAATATTCACCCCCCTCAAAAAAAATTGTTCACTCACCTAACATGGTTTCTGCTCTTGGTGGGGGGATGAGGGGGGGGAGAGGTATTTTTCCATTAAACTGAGGAGGCGGAGAGTGTTGTGGCATGGAAGTCAGGGATTATAGGGTGATATTATTTTGGAAACATCTGCTTCTCGATTCCTGCCCAAGTACCTCTGGGCAAGAACAGTTGAAAAGGTGTGAGCTGTGTTTCACTTCTGTGCTTGATGTCAGCAAAGAGGGTTTGCACAGGTCACACCTCTTAAGTCTTGGCAGTTTTGCTAATGACTGAGCCCACAAAAGGAATTATGTAGAAGTGGAAAGGAGGAATATTCTGAGCGCATATCAGTTAAAACCTTTCAGCTGCAGGTGCCAGAAACCAACTTGAGCTAGCTTAAATGGAAAAGCAAAATTTATCTGAAGGACACAGGGACTCTCTTAGAACCCAAGTGCAGAGGCCCAG